AAGCCCATTTGATACAGTTTTTATTTTAGATACTGTATTTTTTAATTCGAGGTTTCTGTTTGGTTCTTTTATATTACTTGATTTCTGTCTTGAGATTGCTAATGTGTGTATTTATTATGATCAAACTTACCTTTAAAATCCTTAAATTTAGTTATAATAGCTACTTCAAAGTTTTACCTGCTAATTCCAACATCTGGGTCATCTTATGGTTGGTTTCTAGTGACTGCATTTTCTCTTGACTGTGGGCCATTTTCTCTTATTTCTTCTCATAAAGTGTGGATTGAGCCTGGATTATGTCATCTTCCTTGAGAGGGTATTTAGTTTTGTTCTGGCAGACAGGTGAACTGGTGGCAGGATTCCTTATAATTCCCTGTTAGAGCAGGTCGACTTCAGTTCTGAATTTAGTTTTAGGGTGTATACCGTTTCCTGGGGCTATTCTTTCCTTCTGAGATGTGCCTCTCTGTGATCTCAGTTAAATGCTGATGTACTCGGTGAATCTCTACCCTGGCTTAGTTGGGTTTCTAATGTTTCTCAGCATTTTATGGCCTCTGGTGTCACTCACTGTCATCTCCCAGGTCTGCAGCAGGTGGTCTCTGTTACGTATTGCGGAGTCTTTCCTTCCCTGCGTGTGTGCAGCCCGGTCCTCAGCCCGAGGCCTGCAGCGAACGCGCATTCTGAAACCCCCCCTTAGCACCGCCTCCTTTTCTCAGCTGCCCTGCCCCCAGAGTCCCGCTGCTGCTTCACCTCCCCTTAGCACCGCCTCCTTTTCTCAGCTGCCCTGCCCCCAGAGTCCAGCTGCTGCTTCACCTCCCCTTAGCACCGCCTCCTTTTCTCAGCTGCCCTGCCCCCAGAGTCCAGCTGCTGCTTCGGCTCGGCTCGTGAGATTGCCGCTCTGCCTGGGGCCCATCTCCCTTGTCAAGTGTTTCTAAGTCAGAAAGGTGGGGTGGTCGTGGGACGTCATTTGTGGGTTTCCCTTCTCATCGTCTTGCAACTCCGTGCCTGAGAACAGTTGCCTGTCTGCCCTGGTGTGCAGCTGTGTAGGCAGGACAGCAGGTCAGACAGCAGGTCAGAGCAGTTCCTCTGCCGCGGCTGCAGGTGGAAGCTGTGAGGGTAAGTGTAGCTGGAAGCTGTGAGGGTAAGTGTAGCTCAGTTAAGGGCACAGGAGGTCTGTATAAACATTAAGTACCGGCACGACTGTGTGTAATGGCTGAGATAATGTCTTTATGCAGCAAGGATGTATAAGTCTATAGACAAAGTAAACATTGGGCTTTCAGTACTGAAAACCCTGCCTATGGTTAGCTCTGTGAAGCATCTAGCAGCCAGATGTATGTAATGTAATAAATCATACATGTAGTAGGTACGCACACACACACACCCCTTACCTTCTCCCACCCTCACCCTTTTAATTGTGTTGTATTAAAAGCTTTAAAAGTGTCTTTCTTTAGGGAGAACTTTCATGGGCAGAGGGGGACTCCCTCAAGCCCGTTGAAGGGAAATGTGCACAGGATATCTTTATTTCCTCTACAGTGTTTTTAATTCTCCTACAGTGGCATGAGGCCTGTTTATTCCCAAATGGTAAGTTTGGTATTGCTCCATTCCTATGGGTTATCAGATGTTAAAGCTTTTTGGGGCCAGAAATAAAACTAAAATACCGTAGAGGGATGAGCCATATAAGCAGGGGCCAAGTTACCTGTTTCCAAAAAAAAGACTGGAGAGAATTTTAAAAACAACACTCTGCCTTTTGTAAGTCTGTTTTATGTGATCAAAGGAAGACAGCATTTGACTTGTATTCCAGTATCTATCCTGATGGCTGTCCAGCCTCTTTCTCTATAGCAAGGAGGACTTTGGTACTCAGACTCTTAAAGGGACATAATCAGAAGACAATCTCCTTCGTAGAGTTTGTCAGAAGGTCATTTGAACACCAGTTTAAATAGTGAGTCCAAATACTACATTCTTTTACATTAATTGTTAAAAGGGAGAAGTTCTTGGCTAAAGTCAGATAATGAAAAACTGTGTGCTTGAGCTGATAGACATTTGAATGTAAAGAGAGGTAAATGTGTGCTAGGCATCTTTTGCTTCCTGTGTTTTGGTAGCTGGTCAGATAGAGATTCAAGAAGGAATCCTGGGGACACCAATTTCAGAAAGAGGAGACTTGTAGATTTATTATCTTGTCCTGCCATCAAGTCTCACTGGGTGTGAACAGTGTGTGCTACGTGCAGGGCATTTGGTTTACTGGGATGTTGATGTGGCTGTGTCAGTGGGTGTTTCTCAAATAAAAACATTCTCTTTAAAGAAAACATTTTAGAGCTAGAGTTGTCAGAAGTCCAATATTGATAACATTTTTTTTCTAATTTTCAATAATTCTGTCTGAATTAATCAAAATTGCTGAGTCTATTTATGAACTGAAGAAACCCAAAACAGTGATCCGAAAGAATACATGCACCCCTTTGTTCATTGCAGCATTATTTACAATCGCCAAGATTTGGAAGCAGCCCAAGTACCCATCAGTAGATGAGTGGGTTAAAAAGCTCGGGTATATGTACATAATGGAATATTACTCGGCTACAAAAAAAAGAAAATCTTACTTTTTGCAAAAGCATGGATGGACCTGGAGAGTATTGTGTTAAGTGAAATAAGCCAGACAGAGGAAGACAAAACCATATGATCTTCTTATATGTGGAATCTAATGAACAAAAGAAAAAAAGCAAAAGAAACAGACTCACAGATACAAAAAACAGACTGACAGCTGTTAGAGAGCAGGGGGTGGGGGTGGGGTGGAAAAGGTGAAGGAATTAAGGGAAAAACCAACTCCTAGACACAGACAGCAGTGTGGTGATGACCTGAGGGCAGGAGAGGAGGGTGAAGGGGGGGATGAATGGAAGGAGGCTTGGCTGGGTGGGGAACACACAGTAAAAGATACAGATGATGTATTCTGGAATTGTACCCCTGAAACCTATATATTTTATTAACCAGTGTCACCATTAAATTCAATAAATTTTTTTTTCAGTGCTGATATCCTTTTATAACTTTGTTTTCTTGGATTTTCCCCATGCTCCCTCCCCATAATCCCTTTTATTCTCATATTCTGACATGGTTTTATGTAGTAGTACAGAAAGGAAAGGCAAATAGAAGCTGAGATGAATTTTATTTTTCTTTTAAACAGAAGAGAGGAGAACGGTGGGGTTACATACTTATAAATATTTATAAATATAGAGCGATAGGCCAAGTCTTCCAAATAAATAAATAAATATTGCCACATGCTAAAAGATGTAGGGAGTCGTGGCGGCTGCCTTGGCACTGCCAAAGAGAAAACCCCTGATGCGTGATCACTGAGTTTGTGAGAGGATAACCAGTTTTCTACTAAAGCCCCTTGGGAATTTTCCACCTAATTATCAGTATCGGGGAACTTCTAATAGCTTTTATACAGTATAATATCTCCAACAGAAAATGAAAACTATATAAAGAAAATATTTGCCATGCACTGCTCTGTAGTGTTACAGTTGCGCTTCATAAGAGGCACTAGTTCAGCTTAAAACCATTACGCAAAAGCAGTTGTCCAATGTTTCATGAGTAAAAAGAATGGATATTTTTAAGGCTGGGTACATTATAGCAGTGAGGGGAACAAGGTGACTGGGAAGAAGCTGTTGTTTAAATCAACTTCGCTTGTTAATATTCTGTTCTCTGGGTAGCCATTTAAATGGAGGTTGGAGAGTGGGCCCCCCTTGTAGGAAGACCTTCAGGCACCGGGTAAGGCTGGGGTTGAGGACTGAGTGGCCAGCCCACATGTCTGGTGCTCTTTAGCTGTTTGACAAGTGAGGTTTGGTTTTCCTCGGGGTAGTTGGGGCTCCTTGGCCTGAAAGCGGTCTTCATTTAATGCCCCCAGATTTCCCAAGTGGATTAGCACTTAGGCTTGTCAGCCTGGGAGTGTTAGCTCCCCAGCTGCCGCTGCAGGGTGGTAAAGGGATCGTATGAAGAGCTGGCGGTGTGGTGTTTTCCTAACTCCTACCCTGTGGTGCCCTGAGCATTGACGTCACTCCATTCAAAGGGCAGACTGTGCCAGTCTGCTGAGAACCTAGCCCAGAGCAGTCCCATTGTCTCAGTGTGACATTTTTGTCATCCATCCAGAGTGGATTGCCACTCCACTTGGAAGTAGAGGCCTAATGAAAGGCCTGTTAGGAGAGTTTGACTTTATTTCCATTTTGAAATGCAAATCCTAGCGGGCTAGAGTTTCTGGAGCCAATCCCAAGGCCCAGCACGCTAGAGCCAGACAGGGTCAGAGGCCAGGCTGTGTCATGGCCCCTGGGGAGGCAGCGCAGGGGCATTCTTGGCCCTCTGGCTCTGGACGCCTGGAGAGCATGGCAAGGGGTGCCCACCCCCAGGGAGCTTGAGTTTTCCAGCTTGATTCCTGCCTCAGTTCTCCAAGCTTTCTAGTTAAGCTCTGACCAGCTACCACCCGTCTTTTTGACAGCTCATCTCCAGAGATGCTCAAAGAACAAAGGTTTGAGATTAGGATTCCCATAAATTTGTCCAGTTCAGCGGTTAATGCCCTAGGTCAAGGTTGCAAACTCAAGTGCCAACAGAGGTGAGAACATAAATGCAAGGGACAGGGGAGCTGGCCTTGACTTCCTGCATCCCCAAAGCGGTGAGCTCCCTAAGCCGGAGATCTAGTGCTGAACTGGTTAAGAAGAGAGGCATATGGGAGGGAATAAAGGAAGGGGGGGAAACCCCTTCTTTCCTGGTGAAGGGGAAATGTCTAATTTACCTATGGGGCTCCTTCATGCAGAAAGGTGGTTTAGGTAGGGCGAGGAAGGTGGCGAAACTCCCCTTTCTCAGGCCGGGAAGGCAGATTCTCAGGGACTTTCCTGGAGAAGGAAATGGAGAGAAGCGGCTAACCCCACACATCACCCCACCTTCCCTTCCTTGGCGTGGAGGGGGAGCTGGCCCCTTTAACGATAGTGTACTTTTCTGACAGGTGTTGAAAGCATTGTTTTGCAGTATCCCTAGGTAAACTTGGGGAAGGGGCGGCACCTCTCCGCGCCCAGCACCCCCGCGTGTGTGTTTATCCTGTTGCTTTTGATCACCCCAGACGGGTCGTTACTGGACCCCACGCTGTTGTCCTCCGCACTCGGGAGCTCCTGGGAGCAGGAGGCCGGGGCCGGGGTCAGGCGGGGCTTGGGCTTCAGCACGTTCAGCGGGTCGGCCTCTGGGGCCAGGGTCAGGCGGGGCTCGGGCTTCAGCACGTTCAGCGGGTCGGCCCCCGAGTCGTCGTCCTCGGCGCTGCGCGTGTGCCGGCGCTGCGGCCGCGGGGTGTTGAAGTGGAACAGGGGGATCTCGTTCCTCCGGGACAGGAACTGGGAGTAGGGCGGGGGGTTGGTGCCCGGCAGGAAGGCCCGCTTGGCCCGGCCCAGGCTGACGAGGAAGCGGTGCTGGGGCGAGTGGTACACGTCGTAGCCGTTCTCCAGCGTCTGCTGGCTGAACCTGCAGCTCTCGGGGCTGAAGTGATGCTGCAAGGGCAAAGCCACCCAGGTGAGGGCCAGGTGAGCGCGGCCCAGCCCCAGCCCCAGCCCCAGCCCCAGCCCCAGCCCCAGCCCCAGCCCCAGCCCCAGCCCCAGCCCCAGCCCCGCGCGCCTGCAGGCCTGCCTGGAGTCTTGGTAATGGGAGGAGCTCCATCCCTCCCGACAGCTCCATTGGGTAGGTACATTAACCCCTGCTGGGAGACGTGATTTTCCCTAGTGCTTTAAGCACCCAGCACAGCTTCCACCCCAGGGTGGCAACCACAGGGCTTCACAGCCCCTGCCTGAGGTGGACTGGCTGGCATGGCGTGCTCCGGCCAGGGTGCGCAGAGCCGCAGGCTCCTGTGTCCGGTTCCTGGGGGAGGTCTAACTCAAAGGCGTTCTCATCCTTCCCTCCCTCAACCTTTTGAACCCTCTTTTGGCTGAAAGGGGGCTTGGGTCTGTCTCCTTACCTGGAAGAAAGGGGGTGGGCCCTGGCCGGTTTGGCTAAGCCGTTAGTGTCGGCCTCGGACAGGAGAGTCCCGGGTTCGGTTCCCGCTAAGGGCACCTACCTTGGTTGCAGTTTGTCCCCCCCCCCCCCATTGGGGTTGTGTGGGTGGCAGCCCCTGATGTGAGAGGATGTGTTTCTTTCACATGGATTTCTCTCTCTCTCTTCCTCCCCCTCTCCCTCCTGCTCTGTCTGAAGATACATGCAAAAATGTCCTCTGGTGAGGATGAAAAAAAAAAAGGAGGTGGGATGGGGAAGTGAGGGTACTGACATCAGAGAGATAATGTAGTGTGGGAGTTAGGGACATGAACTTTGGCAACAAATGACCTAGGTTTGAGGTCTCACTCTGCCACTAGCCGGTACCGGGTTTTATTGAGTGCCTGCTAGGATCTTCACATATTATTTCATTTAATCCTGAAACGCCATGAAGTAATATTTTACAGATGAGAACGATGTAGATGCCTATATGTGGTCGACAGCTATTTACTTATTTACTTATTATTTATTCATTTAATTTTCTACTTTTCTTCAACAAATATGTATCTGCTCTGGGTCAGATACCATTATAGATGCTGGGACACAGCAGTAAGCGAAACAGAAAGTCATTGCTCTCCCGGAATTTCTAGTGGGTCTGCCTGGGGTAAGGGCTCCTGAGATAAGCAGTCCCACTACTGTACCGTCTACAAATCCTCTGGACTGCGCCTGCAACCTGTAGTTTGGGAAATGCTTTGCTTACCAGTCGGAAGGACAAGCCAGCACAGTTGGGACAGAGATAATTAATTAGAGATCTTTAACTAGGTGGAGCCCCACAGGGCATGTGGTCCACCCTGCTTTAGTTTTTCCATTCGAGGAAACTGAAGTTTGGAGAAATGAGGGGGTTTGCCCACAGTCAAGGAGGTCTAGTAGCAGAGTCAAGAAGACACCTATGGTGTCTCACCCTTTTCAATGCACTTTGTGACATGAATCGGCATGACTAAAGGACCTACGGCTACATGCAAGGTGCTGTGTGAGACACAAACATGGATACTAACAGGCACGTTAGACCACAGCCTAGAGTCGGATCCGGAGCCAAACTGCCTGGGTTTGAACCCCAGGTACAGAAACCTGAGCATTTACTAATTAGACTGAAAAAAGGACTCCGTGGAAACAAATCATCAAGGTATTCTGCAAATGGACTCTTCAAGCTTTTTTTTTTTTTTTTTATCCTCACCTGAGGACATTTTTTCTATTTTTTGTTCAGGTAGAGTGGGAGGGGGAGAGAGGAAGAGAGAGAGAAACATCGATGTGAAAGGGACACATCGAGTGGCTGCTACCCACACGACCAACCAGGGCCGGGGGACAAACTGCAGCTGAGGTACATGCCCTTAGCGGGAACCGAACCCGGGTCTCTCGGGACCTCAGGCCGATGCTCTAACCGCTGAGCCAAACCGGCCAGGGCCAAGCTTTGAACATCTATGTTCTGTCAAAGAAATTAGATCATTTTTTTTTTTTTGCAAGTGGTGACCAGTACAAAAAAGAAACTCACTGATCCAAAAATGTTTCCCCTGAAGTCCATGCAGAGGTATCGCCTACTCATCACACCTGTTATCACCACAAAGCCAGCGTCCTCTGATCTGATCATCAGCGCACCTGTGGAGGAAAGCATTCCGGTCAAATCTTGCTGTACACCCAGGCCCTGCCTTCAGCACCTCTTCTGACTCCTGTACTCCTCCCCTGCCCCGCCCCATTGCCGTGTTCCTCACCCTCTTGCCTAACGGGGAACTCTGAGCTCCTGGCATTCTCCCACGGGTGCCCTACACACAGTTCTCTTCCTGCCTGGACAGCCTTGGCTTTCTCCTTGCCTGGCTAATACTGCTTCATGTTTGCGGTCATGCTCTCCCAAAGCTTCTTTCTGCCTGTGTGATTTTAAAATTTATACCAAGACGTTTTTCCAGGACCCAGCTTGAAATCGAGCATGAGTAGCTGTGGACATGTCACTGGTCCATCAGCCAACACACACCATTAGAACTGTATTAGAAGAACTGTATTAGAATCCGTCTTCTCCTCCCTTCTCTACTTATTGAAGTCATTCATCCTTCAAGGCCAGACTCAGATGTCACTATTTTTTTTGAAAACTTTCCCGAGCTCCCTCATCGTTAGCTGCTCTTTCTTCTCAGTCTGGCAGCGCAAGCCTATGCCTCTATTACAGCGTGCCTTTTATTCACTTGGCTTGAACTAAGTTTACATACCTCGTGTGTCCCCTAGAGGGAGCTACTTAGAACCAGATGCTTTATCTTTCTTTATTGAACGGATGTCAGGGGTGGATGGGATTTTTTTCTTGGCTCTTTGTCGCTGTTCTTTGTCGTTTTCTTACTTGGTGATGTCCCCTCCGGGTGCCATCCCTCATGGTCTTTCAATGCCACTCTCAACAACTAGTCTGAGACAAGAGCCTGAAATCCATCCACACTACCTACACCTTAAATAATTGATACCAGCTTTAAGTATCAATTGATACTTAAAGTATAATTGATACCAGCTTTAAGTGTGACCCCCCTCACCCACCCCCATGGAAACTTGCAATTTTAACAAGTACCAATGCCTAGTTAAAGAAAATCTAGCCCAGTGGTTGAGCATCGACCCATGCACCAGGAGGTGGCCAGTTTGATTCCCAATCAGGGCACATGCCCAGGTTGTAGCCAAATCCCCAGCGGGGGACATGTAGGAGGCAGCAGTCAATGTTCTCTCTCATCGATGTCTCTCTCTCTCTCTCTCTCTCTCTCTCTCCTTCTCCATTCCTATCTCTCTAAAATCAATAAAGAAAATATTTTTTTATTTAATTAATTTATTTTTGTTACAAATGTTTCTCCTTTTCCCCCCACTGATTCCTCCCTCCTCTCCCTCCCCACCCTGTCCCCAGCTTTATTGTCCATGTCCATTGTTCATGCATACATGCATGTAAGTTCTGTGGTTTATCTCTCCCTCACTAACCCCTCTTCTGGGGATTGTCAGTCTGTACCCCACTTCCACATCTCTGGGACTACCCCATTCCTCAGACTGTTATGTTCATTATATTCCACAAATAAGTGAGATCATGTGAAACTTGTCTTTCTCTGTTTGGCTCGTTTCGCTTAGGATGACACTTTCCAGGTCCCTCCATGTCGTCCCAAAGGATAAGAGATCTTTCTTTCTTACAGCTGCATAGTACTCCATTGTGTATATGTACCACAGCTTTTTTATCCATTTGTCTACTGATGGACACTTGGGCTGTTTCCAGATCTTAGCTATTGTAAATAGTGCTGCTACAAACATGGGGGTACATATATTATTTCTGATTGGTGTTTCAGGCTTCTTAGGGTATATTCCTAGAAGTGGGATCACTGAGTAAGAAAAAATTTTTTAAAAAAATTCTAAAGCTTTCTATTTTGTGGCAAGGGTATAATTTAGCAAGAGTTAGGCCCCAAATGCTGTTCATTACCTGATATTTTCCATTGAAAATCATTTCCGTAAGTCTTTGAGACCACTTTCATTTGCCTACCAGAGAATTTCCCCCTGCATCTCATTTGACCTGAACCCCTCGGGGAGGAGCCCAAGTAGGGCTAAAATCCCTCTTTTAGAAATGTCATGTGCCCAGTGAGTGGTGGCGCCTGGTGGGTTGACTTCTCCCCCACCCATGTAGGCTCAATACAAGACCTCCGAGGACAGCAGCAGGCAATACCCGGAGCTGAGCATGGACCCTGATCGGAAGGAGGCAGATCAGGGACAGAGGGAAGGAGGCAGGAGCAAGTCTAGAATGAAGACAAAGGAAGAGGCCAAAGAGGAAAATTAATTTATTTCTGAGTATGACTGAGGGTTAGGCTTGAGGGAAGCTTCTGGAAGTGGAGTGAGGTATGGGAGATACAGAGGATAATTAAATTACTCCATAAATGGATCAAATAGATGGCCAATTTTATGATAAGCCCTGGGAGAAACTTAAGAAACTTGAAGTGAAGTTTCTTGCCTATTGATTTTTTAGTCCAATTGGAAAGAAATTACTTGGAGTAACTGTTTCTGAGTGATTGTGCTCTAAGAGCTTTGCATACTTTAAATGCTAAAAATAACTGTTTTATTGTTAATATTATTAATATTGGCAGTAGTAGCATTCCAATTTAAGTGATACTGAAACTAAGGCAGGATTCAAACTCAGGTCAGTGGCCCTAACATCCTAACATCCTGCCAATCATTACAAGCATCAGGCGACAAAGTCAAGGGCCTCACATGCTGCAGGCCATGGGGAGCCCAAGTCACCCTGTCCCCAAGTAGGTCAGGAAACCAGGGACTGGAGCCCTAATTATGCCACTTACTGACTTTGTAGTCTTGGGTAAGTCATTGCTCTAGCCTGAGCTTCCTCCCTTGTGAAAAGAGAATAACAGCTGTCCTGCTCACTTTGTAGGGTTATAATTAGAATCCAGTGGGATGATGCTTGTAAAAATGACGTGAAAGTGTTGAGCAAATGAAAGGCATTATACAGCATCACTGACCTGCTGTTATGACATCCTGATGTGTGGGGTGACTGTGTGCAGTGTGGATGGTACACCTGCTCCTGGTCTCTGGGGCCAGTCCCAGTAAAAACAGCCCTCAGAGGGACAGAGCAGCTGGCTATGGAGCTTGCTCAGGCTCCAATCAAACCAACACGAGCCAATGGGAAAGCTCAGGAAATGCAAGGAACGCACCGGCTGCGTGAGCCACACCTGTTGGAGTCAGGCAGACTTAATGGACATTTCTATCAGTGACAACGGGTGGTGCATGTGCACTGGAAGGAGCATCGGTTTGGGGTCATGGTATCCTCTAGGTCATTTATTACCTGTGTGACCTTGAGCAAGTTATTTAATTTCCTAAACCTTTGTTTTCTCATATGTAGTAGAATCACTTACCTCATTTGGTTGTCTTGAGGATGTAATGAGATAATATTTTTATGCACTATAAAAGCACTTTCTAAATGCTGGTAATTGTTACATGACCCCTTCACCTGAACCTCTGCTGTTAAAGCAGAAAATGATCCGCTCTGGTCTCGCCTCATAGCCAGTAAATGACAAACACGATGATCTGTGTAAAGTGCTTCGAGCTCCCCAAGAGAAAGATATGGTTTTGAAGAACTGAAGAGCCTGAGGATAATTCACCTTCAAATAAAGAAGATGCCAGTGGGGAAGATGGAAGGAATAAAAATCCCTGGACCTAGGAATTGACATTAACTAGGGGTATGAAGCATCTTTTTTCCTGCTGTTTCCATGAAGTGGGGACAATGGGAAGTGAGAGGGTGGCCTTGTTCGTAGCAGGACAGGACGGACACACCCTGGAGAGGCTCCCTGCCTTCAGCGCCGAGTCCGAGGGCAGGTTATAGAATCTTGTAGGAAGATCATTTCACAATGACCAACCACCCAAAATGGGGTGGGCACTCAACTATTAGTCAAGAGTTTACTAACGCACAGCAATAAAATGAAACCGATTTCACTGGAAATCTATGAAAGTGTTGCTTTACACTCATTAAGGAGGCGATTATAAGTCCTGTTAATTAGTTGTCCTACCTACTTACATGCATCAGTGTTTCCAAATCTTTTCTTCTTGGTAACTTTTCATCTTAGTATATACATTTTTTTGGTAATGCACACGATAACGGATTTGAAGAGTACAAAAGATGACATAAACTAGGAAAAGCATCTCCCTCTCACCACCTTGACCTGAATTCCCATCCCCGGGATTGTGTTGATCTCCAGAGGCACCATGCTCAGCGAGCGTCTATACCTGACAAAGCAAAATCACTTGTCTGTAAATTAAATCTGAAATCACTTCAATCACCATCCACTCTTCTCATTTTAACTCATTCTAACTAGTACTCAGTGCCTTCTTTGAGACACCAGTGGCCATTTGAGGGAAAGTTCTACCATTCGGCTTGCAAGCTCAGCAGGCTGAGCCCCACACACTGGAACATTCAGCCCCCCGCAGCCGGCGCACACCTGTCTACCTTATGTCATGTTCAGCAGGACATGTCTTTGGTGGGGCTCCTTTCAATGAAGGGATTTCGTGATTCTACACAAATTTTATAAGCATTCTCTAGTTGTATGAAGCCCTTTCCATCTATGGGAACCAAAATATCGTACCATAATCCACTCGTGCATTTTAACCGGCCACCACCTTGCGGTGGAAGTGAGGGCAGCCGGCCACGGAGCTGCAGACACTGTTTCCTGAAGTTCGGTACTGAGCTGGGAGACGAGATGAAGTGCCGCACCCACAGAGCTCCGCGTGGTCAGACACACTGTAGGTTCTCTTCGGCACCCACTGGATAAAATGAGCAGCACTTCGGATGCATCAAGTATATCCAGATTTATTTCAGATTTTTGCCATTAGACTCAAACTTGGCTTCCGAGATGTTGACTCCTAAATCCTACCATATCCCTTTGAGTTGTGGAACTTTTCGGGAATTTGAAGACTTTTCCCCCTCCTGGAATCTCCTATCACCATCCACTGAACTCATGAAGAGATTTGAATGATTGGCTTTGCATATATATATATATATATATATATATATATATATATATCTTGCTACCAGGTTTAAGGACCTTTGGTTCTTAGCAGAATTAGTGTCTTGCACACAGCAAGGCCACCAAAAAAACTGCTAAATAATTTAGTACAATATAGGGTGAATCATTATTCCTATACGTTTTCTTTAATTAAAGAGACTGTGATTACTCTTTCAATCCTTTACATGATCTTTATTGAATCAATATGTATTTTTCTGTATCCTTAGAGTCATTTCTACATATTCTCATAAAAGGAAGACCTTGTCTTTTTCAATATGCATCCGCCCTCCCACTTCATCATCTCTTATATAGGCGCACACCACGGGGGCTTGCATATGAATCACACATAACTGATTGACTATGGTGGACTATGACCCAACTTTCCACAAATATAATCTGTAAAAACGTTCCAGCCATCTGATATTGCCAAAGAGTCCCCAACCAGCTCCTTTGCTACCAAGTGGACGTTTTAGCTGCACAGAGAAGAACCAGCACTTCGTGCTAAGCTGGGTGGCTCCGACGCCCCAGTGAACCCGTGGGAAGGATGCAGTCATGGATCGCCGAGTACACGTGTGGGTGCTGATTGGACCCATCAACACAGCACGCCTGAGAGTCCGCCTTGAAATCATTTTTCCTGACAATTTCTATAAGGCCAGAATACAAGGAGCTCAGAGTCAGAAAGAGCCCTCGAGTTCATCTATTCCAAATCGTGGTCGGACACAGCAATCTCCTTCACCACCCCCACTGCTAACCCAGCCCAAAGTTTGTACGCTAAAACTCAGTGTCCATTGACCTCTCTGGCGTTGTCCTCTCAACCTCCTTGCCTTTCTCTCTGCACATTTTTGACTCTGGGCAGGATAAAGGGAATGTGGCTGCTATTGCGGGAAGAAGAATTTTAGTTAAGACAGAAGTTATTCCTGCTGGTAGAAACCAGTAAACACTAATTAGGAAGGTGACAGAATCTTCTCCCAAGGTAAAAAGCGTACATTCGCATGTGCACGCACACACATGCACACACGCACACACACACACACACACTATTAGGTGGATCGTGGGTCTAGCCCAGGGTCTCCCCAAGTCCCCGGTAGGGGGATGGACAGAGCTCCCCCTTCTTCCCAGCCTGCCCCTACTCACTGTAGATGGTCTGGTGGGGTGTGCCATCCACACGGCCGTCCTTGTGGATCTGCAGATGGTAGCTGTTCCTGGCGGTGGCTGTGTACAGGTGGGTCAGGCCACCCCAGCTGGAGCTGAGCAGCGGGGATACATTGGGATAGGCTCTGACTACACAGCACAGGACACAGACCAGGAGCCCGAGGCAGGCCCCTGACATTGCTGCTCTCTGAATGGCTGGCGTGGACTTGGAAACCTGACACTGCCTCCCTGACTCCAGGGCCTTTCTCTCCTTCTTGCTGGGGTATCTGGCGTGAGGATCCCGGGCTGGATTCCCTCCTTTTTTCCTTGGGCTTTTAAAGGGTAGCAGTGTGACATCAATCAGGAAAAACTCCACTGTCCACATCCTCTGTGTTGTAATCAGCTCATTTGAAGTGAGTGCAGAGACCTCGGAGGCTCACGGAAGGCACGTCGGTTACACACACACACACACACACACACACACACCCCTTAATTTCAAGCCAACGCTCCCAAAAGTGAATGATGTGTGGGCAAAAGTTATCTAGGACTCTGTTGACCTGTCCCACTTCCACCAGGAAATGTGAAGGCAGCCAGCGGTTCTGGAAAAAAAAAAAATCCAGCTTCAGTCATGCGGTCAGCAGACTCCTGTGCAATTAATCTTCCAACGAGTCTACTCATTTTGGTTTCCTCGGTCCTTTTAATTCCAATCAACTACATGTCCAGTGCTTTCTCTGTGTACAGCACCAGGTGGGTGTCTCGAAGGAGACAGAAATAATACAGAACACCATCAGGCAAATGGCATCCTCTGAGACCCCCCTCACCCCGTGAAAATACGGGAGCAGGGAGCAGAGGGGCCAAAACCAAGGTTACCCTTTCGGGAAGAGTTCCAAATGGGAAGAAAGAAAGCAAGGCCTCGGGGTCTCTGCTGCTCTGCAGAATGCTGAGGTTTGAGTTCTCGGTTTTCCTGGTTGGACTGTCTAGGGCAACTGAACTGGTGTGATGGTGTCTGCAATAGTGTGGAGACTAACTGAGAGACTCATGAAGACCGGGACACTGCTGGCCGAGCGCAGGGTTCAGAGCCCAGGAAGGTCCCGGGAGCCGAGCGGCAGGGCAGGGTGTCCCCGCAGTTAGTGTCTACTGGGCGCCTGGCTGCTTGGACTGCACCTTCCGTACAGATGCTGCTCACAGATGTGGCCTCTGGGAAGCTACATGGGATGGAGGAGGAGGACCCCAGCACCTGCGGTTTAGCGGGGAGCAAGCTGCTGGAACCCATCGCGGAAAAACACACACAAGGAGGCTGCTGCTTTTCCAGTTCCCCGTTTGCTGAGCACACACCACGTGCAGGCGTCAGGCTAGACACCGTGGCTGATAGAAGAGAGGGCAAAATGTGATCCCTGCCTCGGGAGCTCACAGTCCAGCGGAGGAGGCAGACACACGTAAATAACCACTACACACAATCATGCAGGTGCAGGCAGAAAGAGGGCCCGTTTGTTCTACACCTGCACAGGTTCCTATAGTTCACAGAGCACGTTCACGTGTGCTGGCTCCTTTGCATCTCACGGCAACTCTGGGAGCCAGGCGCACCAGGCACTATCAGCGCTTGATATTATACATGAAGAAATGGAGATCTTGGGGCTCATATGTACAAAGTGACAAAGCATTAAACAAGAGAGATAGGACAAGGTCTTTGGCTTCCTAAGACTGTTTCTCCGATAGTAATAATCACAACGGCGACGGACACGTGTTGAGAGCGTATCAAGTGCTTTGCTTGTAGTAACTCATTGAATCTTCCTAATAAACCTCTGAGGAGATGCTGGTATTTCCTTTATATTGGTAGGAAACTCACGCACGCAGTTTATACAGCTAATACGGGAAGAGGTCAGACTGGAGTCTGGGCAGTCTGACTCCAGACCTCCTGAGCACAAACCCCGCGGCTTTTTGGGGCAAAAGCTGTCAGAGCTCGGGGCTTGGTAAGGAAACGCAAGTAGCAACGTGGCATGTTGCTTCTCTCCAGTGACCCCAAGCCCATCCCCAGGAGGCGTCTCTAAGAGGCAGGGGGCTGCCTTCTCAGGTTAGGTAGGAGATTTAGGACATTTAAATGCTTATGCATAAGACAGTCTTCTTCAACGATGTTCACAGAATGGTTCACAGATATAGTCCCTCATCTTAGCTCATTGGAGAGAGCTAGCTCTCAGAATTGAAATACAAGTTATTCAGGAACATTCGCCGGTTGATAACCCTGCATTTCCTCTTCTGCTTGTGAATGGTACAGAGAGTGGCAGTGTCTGTGGCACACTCGGCAGGCATTGAGACACTTCTCGGTGCAAGGGAGAAGGGAGGAGGGAGGTACAGGATGAAAAAGCAGAACAAATGTATCCTCAGGGGCTTATAATATCACCGAGGAGAAGAAAACTTTGTCCAATACCAGGCACTGTGAGGAAGGAGCTCAGTTACTAGGATGCGTAATAAACGCTAAGGGGGTTCAGAAAAGGGAGCGATCACAGTGGGTGGGCACTGTGGTCAAAAAGGGCTTGGAGGGCTGAGAGGCCAGATGGAACCCTGCAGATGGAGAGACAGGGAAGCCTGCATCCCAGCTCCTGTCGAGGCGCCATGGGGAGGGAGTGCGGGGATCTTGGGGCAGAACCTGGTCATTGGCTCCATGCCTGGGGTGGCTGCAGGGGAACCTCCCTCGACACTTTAGCTTGGAATGAGAATTGATGTTCAGTCTTACTCCACTTCCAGAGACTTCCCTCCAAGAAGAAGCCCTGAATGCCTAGCAGCTGAATCTGGGGACAGAGGAACGCTCGGGGGAGTCGGTTTGTTTCCGAGGGGGGTGGGGGGGAGGAGAGACGAAGCATTCCCCACTTGGCGATAGTGAAGAAGGTACAAGAACCTCAGGATAATTCTTCCCGCCTGAGATATAGAAACACTGAGAGTGGATGGTTTGCCCAGCAGTCAACTTCCAGCTCCTGGCTGAACTCCTGAGGGGCGGGTTCCAGACCGGGCTGCCCATTAGAATCACCGTAACCACCCCAGGACTCATCTTAGACCTTCTGCATCTGCAGGGGCAAGCCCAGCTATTTGCGTTGTTTTCCAAAGCTACCTGGGACATTCTAATCCCCTGCCCTAGAGGTCAATGACACTGAAGTTCTCATCAAGAAACAGACTTTGACTTCCAACTACAGGATGAGTAGAGACCAAGGCCTCCTTCAGCGGCCTGCTCAATTGTCCATTCCCTGCTACGATTTCTGGCCGAACTGTGCAGGTTAAGATGTAAACGGGCCTTTCTAGGGAATTTTGGCAGTGGACACTAAATCAGTACGCTGCGCCTTCGAGCAGCCTCCTCCTTGAGCCTGATGGGTGTGGCATCTCCTTAGAAGCTTCCGAGAACCCTGACAGGAAAGGGAAGCCCAGAGGAAGGCGCTTCCAGTTCTTTGAACCTAGAGAGCACTCATCTGTCACGATTCTGGTCAGAGGATCTGGGAGCTGGACTGACCGTAGGAGCCAAATGAGAAACGCTGAGACCAGATGGGAACAGGAAGCCCAGGCGCGGGCCAGTGGTTCTGAGGTATCACTGTCCTCGGTGCCCAGGTGGCTGCCTGGGGTGCGGCAGGTGGGCACACCTGCTCTTCCGCAGCCAGCCCTGCAGGCCCGTGTTCTGATCCCAGGAGAATTTGCCCTGGGAGCTGTGTGGAGGCTTCTGGTCCATCCCTGCACTGGCAGCCAGAGAATCAAGGCTCCGATTCTCTGGTGGGGGCGTAGGAATCTATGTTCCTACCAGCTGATTCCTTTCCCTCAGTTCCTGACTTTTTCTCGGACTCCTCTCTGAGAAGGAGGATGATCGCCCCCATATCATAGCCTCTCAATGCAAAGACTTTTCAATAATTAAACAAACAAACAAACAAACAAACAAACATTGTCCTGTTATGAGGCTATGATGAGAAAAGGTTGGAGGAATCAAGGGGAAAGAAAAACCAGGAGCTAGGGGAGGTGGTCCCAGGTGGCTCTCACTTTCCTTTCTGAGCCGCTGACCAAAGGCTTCGCCCACAGATGGTGGGAGCAGTGGGCCTCTGCTCCCTGTTCCCACATCTTCATGATTCTGGCCCCATCATTTCGGTTATGGTTTTGCTGTAATCCTGCGCATACAGCCCCTTGGGTTCCGGCAGACGGATGTCTAAGCCAGGACAAGTGGTTGTTTCTTTTCTGAAAGCTGTCTGGGGAGGGGCTAGGGTCTTCCCCAAAATGACCCTCCTGTGTCTTGTGCTCCTGACAGTTCAGATGCGCTTCCTTCTACCCAGGCAGATCCTCTCTTGCTCTAATGAATCCACTCCCTCAACACCTAACTATTCACAGAAAGCCTGTTTTATGGCTGGTACTTTGTAGAAATTCACTAGAGAAGCCTACAAATGAGAAAGCACAAGCGGTTAAGAAGCTTGCAGCTCCTGGGTGACTGTAGTTCACATTGGCTCAGCACTTCACAACCGCCAAGGTGCATTCACACCTGGTCACATTTCCAGCACCGACCGCCTCTTGGTCCAGAGCCAGTGGCTTGCGTGAGGTCAGGCTCCTCCACTTTTCCTCCTTCCCTCCAAATGAGACGTTTCCACTTCTGCTCCCTGAAACAATGTCCAGCTTATTTCTGCCAGGGCAGCCTTTCCAAAATAAAGGCCCTTGGGAGGACTTGTGGTCAGAGCAGCCCTTTCTCCCATGTCTGGGGCCAGACAGCCTACAAGTCAAGGAGAGGAGCATCCAGGCCTGGAAAGGAGTTCAGATCCACATCCAGGTCAAGGTGCTTCTCCAAGGCCCCTGGGAGTGGTGGGTAATGACTGGTCATAAGGAGGGTGGGCATCTGACTGCTATTTACTTCACCCCTTTTTATTGTTTTTTAAATCGTCACCTGAGGATATTTTTCTATTTATCCTTCTATTTATCCTCAGATAGTTGGAGGGAGAGAGAGAAAGAGAAAGGGAGAGAGAGAGAAATATCGATGTGAAAGGGACACATTGATTGGCTGCCACCCGCACAACCCAACCGGGGCCGGGGACAAACTGCAACCGAGATACTGCCCTTAGCAGGAACCGAACCTGGGTCTCTCCGGACTGCAGGTTGACGCTCTAACCGTTGAGCCAAACTGGCCAGGGCTACTTCACCCTTTTGAAAATAAACTTTAATGTTCAAATGTGTAACATTAAACTTCACCACCTATTTTTTTTTTTTTTTTAATCCTCATCCGTGGACATTTTTCCATTTTTTGTACAGAGTGGGAAGGAGAGAGAGGAAGAGAGAAAGAGGGAAACAACGATGTGAAAGAGACACATCGAGTGGCCGCCACCCACACAACCAACCAGGGCCGGGGACAAACTGCAACCGAGGTACGTGCCCCTAGCGGGAACCGAACCCGGGTCTCTCTGGACCGCAGGCGGACGCTCTAACCGCTGAGCCAAACCGGCCAGGGCTTCACCACCTATTTTTAACTTCATACAGAGCATTGCACATGTTTGAGAGTATTTAATGAAAACTGTGCATATCTGAGTGCTCATTTACTTGGAGATTTAACCTTTTTGCAAGAGTGTAAAACAGCCACGAGTACAGGTATAAGATTCTGAAGAACGTTAGGAGACAGATCTGATGGCCCGCGACTGAAACGAGGCGGATGCAAGAATATCGAGGAAAGAATGACTGGACATGAGAAGACGCAAGGAAGCCTCAGGCTAATCCACAGCAGGTGCAGAGGAGAGACGTCAACTCGTTACACTGAGTTTCTCTCCGGAGCAAGCGCTGTGCACGGCGCACGGGGCTCCGCTAGCGGCTAGGGCCTGGCGCTGAGCCTGTGGAGTCCTCGCGCTGCGTGCTGTCCTTGGTGGGAGGGCTCACTCGGTCACTGCCTGGTGCTGCACAGCGAGGACAGCTGAGTGCTTGGAGGCACACAAAGAACTGGAGTCCAGGATTTTTTTTTTTAAATATATTTTTATTGATTTTTTTAGAGAGGAGCGGGGGGATAGAAACATGGATGTGAGAGACAGGGGTGATGGATTGGCTGCCTCCTGCACCACCCCCCCCTACTGGGGATCGAGCACACAACCCGAGCATGTGCCCTGACCAGTCCATGGGACGGTGCTCAATCCACTGAGCCACACCGGCTAGGCGGGAAACTATTCTGTTATTTTTATTTATTTATTTTTTCTTTATTGATTTGACAGAGAGAGGAAGGGGGAGAGGGGGAGAGATGGAAACACTGATGAGAGAGAACATGATTGGCCGCCTCCTGCACCT